GAGAGATTTAACGAGCCAAGTGAAAAAGAAAGGTCATTGTCACGTTCACATCTTTTCATCACACTGACTAACATTCATCAATCCCTGTCTTTCGCACAGCTGGATTTCCCCAATGCTCTAGATTTTGCCCAAAATGGAAGCGTTCTGTTGCAGGTATCCCATCGTCAACGTCACGTGAGGGCAGATCTAAGCTGTCAGTGGTAGATATAACCCTCTCAAAAGCGAATCATTCGTCTTTCAACAATTTCTGATCTGTCCAACAGCATGTGTTTCCTTGCTATGAGGCTAAAAATTCTAAAAGTACTGGCACCCCAGTGGGCATGAATACCATTGTTGCGTCTCTCAATACTGGATAGATACTGTTGAATCGATAGACGAAAATAATCCATTTTCCATGGCGGTTGTTGATTGAAACATGTTTGCATCAACATGACTAATGCAGCACAAGCAATTGACCACTCTCCTCCAAGCTTCTGCTGATCAAGTGCAACGAGCCAATGGGACTAGTTCTTTGCACGTGACCTGCATCTCGTTTGGTCAGAAAGCATGCAGAAAGCTTGCATAAAGTTGCCCTGAAAAGTGCGGTAATCAAAATCGTTCACAAGTTCGTATGCAACCGGAGCACGACGGCATCAAGGCATGATAAGGACAAATTCCCACATTTGAATTCACGTCACTGTCGTTAGGACAATTCCACAACCCCCAAAACCGCCAACAATTATCCTACAGGTCGCAAGCTTCTGTGACTTTACTTGACCACCATGAAGCCCTGGCAGAACCATCGTTCAAGTCGTTCAGCGAACGTGCCATCCCTTAAGCATGAACAGTTTCACTTGTTCACACGTGATGATTCACTTGCATCCAATCCGTTCTGGTGGAGTAGGGTAACACGACTCTTTGCTCGTCTAAAAATTCTAAAAGTACTGGCACCCCAGTGGGCATGAATACCATTGTTGCGTCTCTCAATACTGGATAGATACTGCTGAATCGATAGACGAAAATAATCCATTTTCCATGGCGGTTGTTGATTGAAACATGTTTGCATCAACATGACTAATGCAGCACAAGCAATTGACCACTCTTCTCCAAGCTTCTGCTGATCAAGTGCAACGAGCCAATGGGACTAGTTCTTTGCACGTGACCTGCATCTCGTTTGGTCAGAAAGCATGCAGAAAGCTTGCATAAAGTTGCCCTGAAAAGTGCGGTAATCAAAATCGTTCACAAGTTCGTATGCAACCGGAGCACGACGGCATCAAGGCATGATAAGGACAAATTCCCACATTTGAATTCACGTCACTGTCGTTAGGACAATTCCACAACCCCCAAAACCGCCAATAACTATCCTACAGGTCGCAAGCTTCTGTGACTTTACCTGACCACCATGAAGCCCTGGCAGAACCATCGTTCAAGTCGTTCAGCGAACGTGCCATCCCTTAAGCATGAACAGTTTCACTTGTTCACACGTGATGATTCACTTGCATCCAATCCGTTCTGGTGGAGTAGGGTAACACGACTCTTTGCTCGTCAGATATCCGGAGCTGTACTGTTAGTAGGATATGCGCTAATTGTGAGCCTTAATAAAAGCGATGCCTCAGTCCCTTGTTTCCATCATGCACCCACCAGAATAACTGTGCTAGGACGGGAAAACTGTTCCATGGAGTGCGATGTGAATGCAAATTCCACAAAGCCTTGCAACCGACTACAACATCCACATTTGCACAAAGCGCCAAGATCAATACATTTTGTTGCACCCGAGGACCTTACGCTATTTAAATCAGATGAATAGGTCGCGATAAATGGAGAATAGTAGATGTCATTAGGCACGTGCTCAGACATCCCGAAAAAGTGTTCCCGAATGATTCTCGAATCAATACGCCAGTTGATCATATCCAGGAACCAGATGGCATTAAATCCTACCTTAAAAACAGTGCACCATTACGGCTTTTTACGCTTAGTACACCAAAGAACGGTAAACATACACTATATACCTAATGGCCTAAGTACACCAGATACAATCGTCTTTTCACGCCGAAGGCATTTGTCAGTCGTTTCACCCGCACTAAGGGGAAAAATAAGACTGATTTTGAACTTTCAATTCCCAATATTGTCTTCCGAGCTTGGTAAGGAGGTCACCAAGAAGCGAAACTTAGTTTTAATCCGAAGGTAAACATGGTGAAGTGGATGAAGGCCGAAGCAAAACTTTAGCTTGATATCGTTTTGAGTGCAGGGTTGTTTACAAAGGAGAACCGTTATCAGCTCGGGAGTGCCTTTAACCTCTACCATTGATCTGTCAAAGGTTTTCTGATTAATGCGCTCACTCGATCTTCACTGTGACGAAGCTATTCTCGTCAGTGGCATCTAAGAGGCACATTCCTTTCGAGAACCTGATTTTCGACTGATATGCGCTGTTTTCGAGAAATACACTCATCTGCAAATCAATTTGGTTTTCACGGGAGACTCAATTGAATCTCTCGTTTATGATGTTCTCCAGCTGAATGTGCTGCACACAGGCCGCCTCATGATTCAGTTGGCACGATATTCGAGATATCAAAGTATATTTTCATAAAGGAAACTACTCACAAGGTTGCAGATGAGTGTATTTCTCGAAAACAGTGCTATTTGGGTTCGAGTAGATCATAAGGTTGACGGAAACTCGGGGACTGCGCCTACCTGATGAGCCCCAAGAAGGGCGAAACCGGTCGTGGGTTGTCAAAGAGTTTTCAGCAACCTTGTGAGTAGTTTCCTTTATGAAAACTTTGACGCTCGCTCTGTTTTTTGGTTCAACCTGGTTCTACCTGAAAACCATGGTAATCGAGTCAAGCGCTCTGACATGTACTGGAAAATAAAATGGTAGATATGAGAAGCATGCGTATTTTTCAGGTATTTTGTAGGGCCAAACACGGTGATGTGTAATAAATGCACTTGCTCATCTATTGTTCCCAAATTTTTGGAACAAAGTAAAGCGATCGTCTCGTCTGGGACAAAATGGATTGTTCTGAGATGACATAACCGGTCACACAGTAGAATCAACCCAATTCAGATCACCTGACCTAATAAGATTGCTTCAAGGTCACATGAGATTTGGCTCAGCTCGGATTCTACTTCCAACAAGTATTATGCAAGCTATCATCACTATACAGTTTCTTTTTCGAGTTGGGGGACTGATGGCTCATACGTAATCGGATTTCGCCGTTTTCAGTGACTCACTGACCGGTCACAAGATACCAAGATACCCACAAGATACAACTATACGGAATATCTGTGTCACACGTGAGGCTAGCGACCGACACAAATGCGTGAGGGGAAAAAGCAGAAGACGTCCGTGATTGAGGGACCCCAAAAAGTGTGTATTTGTGCCATATAACCTAAAGGATCGACAATTAATTTAGTGAAGTCGTATGGAATGACAATCATTCTGTCTAGTGAGCTTTGGTCGAGTGTCCATAATATGGATGACCTGACAGTTGTAGGGTGAAACTAAGACTGAGTTCAAGCTTACTGTGAGTTGAAAAGAGGCTCAAAAAGAACTCAGTATATATAGACGCAATAAGGTCTTATTCTATTTTTAAAACAAAAGCTGTGTTAGTCCCAAGTTGAAAAACTACTTCGATTGACAAATCTGAAAAACATTTCAGCAACGTTCAATCGGAGTAAACCTACCGGGAACAACTAGATGCCTGACACGAATTAGGGCGTTAAAACAAAACAACACTGCTACATAAATTTGCGAAAACAAGTGAAATCGGATGGAGATTTAGGGGGAGATCACCAGAAAAAAAGCAAGAATGTGTCCACTTTCAGAATGATTTCATGAAAATTCATCTCACACAATTACCAGGTGCGTGGGTGGAATAGTGGTTACACGCTCGCCTCGCATGTCAGATGTCTGGGGTTCAAATCCCGGCACGGCCACTAGATATGCACTGCTGATGAGCTCTAATAAGAGCGAAACTCGAGTCCAGTGCCTTCCTTTGGTGTGGACTCACCGGAATAATTACGCCAGAACGGGAACACGGCCGTTCAAGCGAGAATGGTGTGGCTATGAACAAACATACCTATCCCGCAAAACCCCAAAATGTATATAATACTCCGTTTACAACTTTCTATCCGCGTGGGAATCATAAACTTGACTGCTGCACTTCAAAGGTGGGCATGAAAGAAATGATACCACCATAATTATAAACGTGTCTTATATATGCTGATTCGTTAATCTGTGGTATCTGCTGCTGACCCGCTCCAGTGCCTAGTGTCGGAGAGAAAAGACTCACAGAAGGGAACACAACAGCTGTATTCCGAACAAGCGAGTGAGTGAGAGAGCGTGAGCGAGAGCGAGTGCAAAAGTTACAACGGCCCCACGCTACTTAAAGGGCACTTTCTGACATTGATCCAGGCTGTCTGATAGGCGTTAGTAATCACCCATCAACATCGATCGTGCCTCTGTGAAAGGTGAAAAGCCTGAACGCTGATCACATTCGGTCGTGCTTCTGTGGCCGCAAGAACACTCATCAGGTCTTGCTGAATTGATTGAATGATTGACTGGCCTGGATGCTTGCCGGCTTTCCAGTTGAGTTTTTGGTGGAGCAGTAGGTTCCGGGCGTCCTAAAGTTGCTTTCAGGAATCTGGGCTTCCTGTTACAATGAATGTTCAACTGTGTGAAAAAACGTTAATGTTTAGGTACATTAATTTAATTCGGTGTTTGGTACGGTGATGTTCGTGGATGATTCAGTACTGACTATGCTCTGTCCCCATAAAATGCAATGAATACGTTTCGCGCAAGATGGTGCTTTGGGTAACGCTGAAGGCGAGAAGCTTCGTACACAGGAGACTACTGTTCCTCTGGCGGCCGAGCATCATTCAATGACAGCATATCGAGCAGGGACGGCTGATGCACGGATGGTCCTAGTAATGAGCCACAAATGAGCTCGAATGTTGCACCAATTGAAACATGAAGCGGCTTTTCTGCAGGACATTCAGTTGAAGAACATCATGAACGAGTGATTCATTTGAGTATCACGTGGAAACCCGGTTGATACACAGATGAGCGTATTTGTCGATTAGTGACATGACATTTACAGCCAGGAACACGATCATTGTTATTTGTTTCACTCAACAGTTGATGACTGGTTAATATACCTTCAGACTAAAATAAATCGCAGTGGAAAGATCAGTGATTCTATGGTTTTTAGACCATGTTGGTTAGGTTCACAAATGTTCAACCGCACAGGGGACTAGAATTACGACAGCCATTCGGATAGGCAATGAAGATGACGGATCATAACCAGTCCAAGAGGGTTAGGTTAAGAGGCTGAGAGACAGATTTTGTTGGGCAATAGCTGCTTAGTCGAGTAGTTGAATCTAACCTATCCCGAAAGGCTAAGTGGTACTGCACGGCTCCTTCAAGCTTATCCGTAGTCACAAGCAGGGAGCAACTCCCGGAACTTCACGGAAGTTCAACTCACACGCAGTGGTCAAAGACAACAAAATTCTCTTCACAGCTTCTTCGACTTAGAGTGACGCCAACTCAAAATGACGTGTCAAAAACTTTTTTTTTAAAATGTCTTGACAGAGAATAAAAATGCACCCGTAAAGATGTCCACATGCAAACTTAAGGGCCCGACAGCCTCAGTTCCTGCAAATCCACGCGCTACCTGTGTATGTTTACCTGTCCTCATATCCAATGTCAGAAAATGCACCTCTGTGTGCCAGAACACTATACCTACCAGCTTTTCATTTCAAAAAAACGGACAAGGACATATTTAATATGCATGTTTTAACAAACGGGAGTAGATTTTCTCTAGTCCCACCTATCTATCTGCGCGGCTCCAGAAGAAATGCGGCCATTTACCCTATATGTTGCAATCAGTCTTACAGCCAAGCCAACCGCGACAAAGCGTGACAAAACGGAATCAATACATCAATGCTTCGTTTCATAGTTCGTGATAGTGACGCTTTGCTTGACAAATGTTGCTGCAACGCGAACGTTAAGTGCAGCCAAAAAGCATGATGTGATGTGTCTTCGGTCCGTTAAGGGCTTTTCTGCATGACTGAATGAATATCATAACCAAGATGAGGATAGAACGAGTGTGCACTATTTGACTTGCATATTACGATGGATCCAACCAGAACTTCCAAAATAGATCTAAATGCCACCATTTTCTTATTCACCCTACAGCCTCCCATCTGAGCGTCACTCCTACTCCAACATGTGCATACATTAGGGAAAACGGGCGGCCCCTGAATACCAAAAGCGGATGTATGCACGGTAGCCACATAGACTGAATGGAGGTACACTTTGGGAGTACAACTGGGAGAACACAAATGTCTCTTTCACAAATTTCTCAGTGGTTACATATGTTGACCAATGTGCACATCACACCCGCGTATAAGCCAATAACTTTTCAGGAGACCTATATTGCGTGTTCCAGACCACAGATCTGGTACACACAGCTTATTTTCTGAAGGTGGTCATTGATTAAGCAATGAGTTGCGTCTATCTGGTGACGTATATTGTCACACAACCCTTGACTTTAAGTCAGTAGTGAATCAGAAACCCTCAGTAGGTTCTTCAAGTAGGAGTATGTAGGCAAAATTAGTTGATTTCTTGTAGTCGTATAGCAGGTAGAATGGGGGAAACGATCAATCATTATTTCGAAATAGGCACGAAGATGGTCCATGATGTGGTTAAATAACAAAATGCGTGTTCAGATCTCTTCGTTTCTTTTCATGAACATTCCAGGTAAGTTATTTGGAATACTAGAACGTTATCTTTCAAAGCAACCTTGTGGACTGTTACGAGAACGATCGAGATGCGAACATCAGAAATCAGGCCTTGAATGTTGTAACTGCGAGATGTAGAAACAAGATGAATGTGCAAACAAAGCTGTATAACAGCCGTCCCTTGGTTTGTTTGCTGAAATTCGCTGATGGTTAACCGATGTTGCGTCAAGAGTAGAGGAGATATCGGCTGGATGGGCAATTCATCCGGTTGATTTGCATTCATATAGCCACTAGAAAGCTTGTATGTTCCTGAGAAAACTCAACTTGACCAAATCAACAGAGCAAGGTGAGAGCAAACAAACTTCTGGAATAACCGCAAGAAGCCAACAGCTACTCCACTAGATAAATGGGAGAGGAACTATCCATTATCTTTCCACTAAACGATATGAAAAATTTTAGGTCGTACCCCAAAAACGAAGATCACGGATATAAAATCATATGATAGCCCAACCAATAATTCGCGGAGGCTTGGTACTGAACGGAGAAAGTCATCAAAAGACACCAGAACAACCTCTTAAAGCCAGAAAGCGGCGTGTGTGAGTAGTGTGTATGAGTAGTGTATCTACTCGAGAAATGGGACTGGTTGTTGATCAGGAAGGAGTTGATCTGTTCACCGAGTCCGCTGTTTGAATTGCACCGTCAATGCGCGTTCGGATGAGCAAGGCCTCCGATTCTGCTTGCGTTTTGAAAACCTCATTTCATTACACACAGCAATTCGACGCCAACAGCCACATACAGTTTGTCAGAATGATGACCATCGTCTGACGAACGGCATGAACCATCCAAAATTAAAACTAAACTACTATACTCAAACAACGAATACCGAATTGAATATATCGAACAAGGATCAGTCATTCGACGTGCTTGTTGTATTCTCACGAAAATGCAGCACTGCGTCCGATCAACCCATAAGTTGTGCGTGTTTCTGAGGCAAACACGGACGACATCACTCTGCGCGGTTGTTACGTAAATGCACGAGTATTGTTCAGTGGAAGATAAAACTGCCGCGCTTTAGGAATTTTCACGTCCCTCGTAGATTGCAAACTAACATACTGGCCACCCTCATTCTTTCCTATTGCCCGGCGATTTCGCTATCCAATCGGCACACAGCCGAACTATCTTTTTGCATGTAAAACAAATGAACCATTCATTTATTCTGTCACTTGGATACCAAAAAGAATAGCTCGAGTTTCTGTTACGTAAGTGGGCGGAAGTTTCCAAGTGCCTACAGAATAGCGGAACCAGTGGTGGGGAATTTAGCTCACCCTCAAGCAGATAGTCGGTTTTGGTCGGTTCGATGACGCAACTCTGAATAGGAAATCCATATCAGATTAGCCACATCAGTTTCCCTGATCAAACGCTTTGTTCTCTCAAGGTTGCTTCCGATTGTTTGGGTCTGTATGGATCATTTACATGTATTACTCGCGCTAACTTCCGGGCCCAGTACACGTATCGCTGGCACCGCTGTTTTCAACAAACGCTGTCGTTTAAGCTCACGTTGTCCGACCTCGCTTCTCATCCTACTTATGACCGAAATCGATGAAACTTTAGGTTGTGTACTACGCTTCCGGTCCTAATTGAGGCGAAGCAGCTGTAACACTGCCCTCTATTTTTGGTTGTAGTCAGAGTTGAAGAAGCAAGACCGGGTCGATTCCTATCATGGACATTTGTTGTCACTCAATAAGAATCGAAGACTGTGCTGTTTGCAGAAATGTCTTTAGTTCTTGTAGGGAGAGCTTCACCTGTGCACCCTGAGGGCTGTAACTGAGTTTGAAATCTGAGTTCAGTATGCTGTTTTCAACAATAATGAGCAGCAACAACGAAACATTTGCGTACTGTTTGAACTACCTGGAGACTAATGACGATGAAACTGTATGATGGCGTCAATCATTTTGTTTTGCCAAAAACATTGTTACACTGAGGTGGGTGAATAAAATGCCATCTCCTCTGATACAACAGCATCGTTCACACAATTACTGTCGCCAACGGAACGAACTTAGAATGGAGGTAAATGTCGCTTCCAACCGAGCAGGTAGTCTCATTCTAATTCAGACTCTCATTTCTGACGGTACTACAACAAAAGTGGTTCGTTTTCCACTAGAAGTGCTTGTGGTGGGCAGGCACTTTTAATATTGAAATGAACTCGGAAAACGGCAGGAACTTTAGCGTCCTTAGTGGCAACTCACTCTGTCCGGCACGGCCAGAAAGACGCTGATGAGAGGTGAGTAAAGTAGTGAGTCCTCGGCTCTCAACAAAAATGAAGCAGTGCAACACGGTTTTGGGCCTCGTGTGAAAGAGAATGTGCACAAAAACCGTGAACTGCTGCCGAACAGAAGCTCAGATCGAGTCCCTACAAAAAAGAAGTGATTTGTGCACGACCCGGTACGCGTCCACTCCGCCACTCGCGTAGGCGAGATGCTTTTGTTGTGCTTTATTCAAACGATTATATTTTTCTTTATGAAGATGGTTCACCAATCCAGGTTTGCTCACAAGGTGTTTCGGCAATTTCTTGACCTAGAACGAGGTGTCTGTCTGTCTGTCTGTCTGTCTGTCTGTCTGTCTGTCTGTCTGTCTGTCTGTCTGTCTGTCTGTCTGTCTGTCTGTCTGTCTGTCTGTCTGTCTGTCTGTCTGTCTGTCTGTCTGTCTGTCTGTCTGTCTGTCTGTCTGTCTGTCTGTCTGTCTGTCTGTCTGTCTGTCTGTCTGTCTGTCTGTCTGTCTGTCTGTCTGTCTGTCTGTCTGTCTGTCTGTCTGTCTGTCTGTCTGTCTGTCTGTCTGTCTGTCTGTCTGTCTGTCTGTCTGTCTGTCTGTCTGTCTGTCTGTCTGTCTGTCTGTCTGTCTGTCTGTCTGTCTGTCTGTCTGTCTGTCTGTCTATCTATCTATTTATCTGCTTGGCTATCTATCTATTTACTGATTATCTAGCTATCAATGTTTTTTTGTTTCAGGGTTAACACGATACCACCCGATTCAGGCCATAGTAGTTCCTCAATTTCAGAAGTAGTGCGTGCAGAACAGCTTTGAAATAATCAAGTGGATGGCTTCTAGAACACTGCGGTCTCTAGTATGATATTTGCCTAATCGATCGACCAAGTAAACCAGGGGACATAATCCCTCATCGTTTGGGTTGTTGGGCAAGCTTATCACATCACTCGTGCGTGAGCACATTCATCTCTACAGACATCCAGCTTGCGCTTGTGAAGTAGCGGTATCACACTCGTCCGGCATAACTGATGCAAAAGATTCAACTCCCAGCTCCGCCAAGAATAGGCACCATTTATTAGCTCTAATGTGAGTGACTTTGACTTGAATCCACAATTTGTTACGTGCATTTTCAGGCTGCACTACAGAATCGGCTGAAATAAAGCCACGTACACACCCAATATCATAGAGAGCCCAAACCGTCTGACTGCCTGTTCTTCGGTGTTTTCTCCCATTTGCTAATCTCGTAAAGTCTGTTCTTTAGTAAATTCGCGCTGTCTTATGGCCCTTATTTGTATCACTCATCTGTTTGTCATCGATCGACGCCTTAACCCTTATGCCAGCTTAAGTGACTTTTGATCAAAAGTTGCTGGATGTGTTGCCGTTTATCGTCCTAAACAGTGGTTGTACACTCGATGGTTTGCTTTATCAAATATTTGAGACTCATCAGCGTATTTCCAGCTCAATGTATATACTTTTTTAGTTTTCTCAGCCTCACCCTGTAGCTGACAGGTTATTCATAGTACCTATAAATCCCAGTTTCGACAGTCTCGAAACATTAGCAAAGCAGTATACGGTAATTTAATCGCTTCTAAAATTAATTGTCTCTAGCTGGGTAATTTACGACAGTTTTATGTCTCCACTAAGTTGAGATTCTCTGTCCCCACCAAAATCAACATTTCCATCCGGGAAACCTGTGAAAATGCTGAATGATAGACAGGAAACTTCTAATGGCAGGTGTCAAAAATGGTGAACTGTGAAGCGTATTTAAGAGTGAAAGTGGCAATTTCGTTTCGAATAGATTCGAATATTAGAGTGACGTTACGGATAAGTTATGTGAATTATGAGAAAACGTATTCATCAAACTATGAACCACCACGAGTGATATCTGTCTGCAGCTGGGTGACAAAAATCAACTGGATAGAGCTATATCACACAGTCGCATCAGTGAACCATTTGGTTAACATTTCTGCCACTCGTACGCATGAGGAACTGATTCACACGCGTGTCGGAGGGACAGATTTGCGCATCAGTGCCGCGGTCAGCTTCCGTTTGGCGTTGATGACTGTCATATTCCGCAGAGACACGCGTTCTGTAGTTCACCGTCTCCTTCCCCCGGTGTTACCAATTGTCCACTGCCACATGTTCCTATACTACTAATAGCTCATCAAATGGATTGCATCTTCCAGAGCTGTCGTACGTAATTCATTTGGCAGTGACTTTAATCAAGCCCAAATATGGCAGCTAAGCTAATTCCTATGAGACAGTAAATTATTTTAAACAATGGAGTGCCTTGCCATAAAACACATAGCACTTTTCTCATCATCTTTACGTGACTGGTGAGAACTCAGCCGTCCTCAATTGTTTCCAGTATACTGGGTCACAGTACGAAGGGAGTTTTTAGCTATACGTATCCTCCTTTGAAAGCTCATGGAAATCGTATTGCCGCGCTAGCTAGCCTGACTGTGAGAACATCCACCTGTTTGATATCTACCAGTTTGATAATTAATTCGATGGCTCATCTGCTCAATTTCTGCTGTTTTCGAAATTGTGAAAACCGTTCAACTGTGTTGAGGCAGTGTAGTGTGTTCCAATGAGGCGTGAATGGATACACCGATTGACAGGAGTGAAGTTGAGCCAGAAAGAAGCTGCCACAGAAGTGGGACACTGAAGCAGTACTTCTTGTCGAAACAACCGCTAACTTGATCACACTCTGCAAATGTGGTTTGATGGAGAACAGTTTTGTGAAGCTTCATCTAATGAGCACGGAAGCACTCATTGGAATCAAAAAAGCTTCACTGTTATTTTGAACAGGCTGAAGCGGATGAAGATGCAATAGAAACTCGCTGCTCAAATGGAAGTACTTTAATTTAGTTTGGTGAGCCATGAACTGGTTGTTTTTGCAATTGATCAATCCCATTCCGGCCCGAACGACAGAGGTTCGTCTGCGTGAGTCCGGGTGTTAAACAAAACAAAGCTAACAGCAATCATACCCCCAAGGAGTGGTTTCACTACGAAGTCCTCATGATTGTAAGTATCGGTAATATTCCCATGTATACATATAACTGATTAGGTCAAAAATGAAGAGGATACCGATGGAGTTTATGGCATAATTAATGTGCAGTTTAATGGGCAAACTGTACACCAACTTCCTAGCATGACAGGCATGTAACATCGGGGAAACTCGGAACGACGACTGAGGGCATGATCTCACGTTCACAATGTGACCTCTAGGGGTGCTCACAGCGCGCATGTCATGATGTAGCGATGTTGCTGTCGTTGAATTTCGACGGGCATGGCAACTCTGCGCAAGTCATTTTGAGGCTTCGAGTTAAACGCATTCTTCTAGAATTCGCTATAATGGTTGCTTTTCAATCTCGCGCCAATAAAGTCTGGTCAAAGTTTATTTAGTCAGGATTGGGGAACAACTACCGGGACTAACCGCTACCACGTTTACACAGGTCCGGTTGACAGAGCTAAACAAAATTTATAGCTTAAGCCTAAGGAATCACACACACACAACAGGTCACCACATCTGAATGGCGATCACACGGGCTCATCTGGCAGAAATCTATCCAAATTGCGGACATACTGATCATATTGATAGCGAAGAACAGGAGATTTATTTGGGAAATGGGAGGGATTAGCACTGTGTGGAAATCCATACATGGGAGGAGTTCTGTTTCACGCGATTTCATCGCCTGTAGCTTTGATAATCCCGTGAAAATCAAGGTGATTTATTTTTTCCCGTGCTTTTCCTCCGAAACTAGCCTTAGGTAGGCGTGCCGAATGGTTGTCAAGTACGCGATACCTACCGCTCGTTCCCGTACACTGACTCAAATAAATTAGAACGCGAAAATGTTGTGGCCAGTTTGATGTTTTAGAACTCCAGAGAAAAAACTACGTCCTCAAAGCCGCCGCCAACACTAGTTTAAGTTGTGTTTGAAGTGCGACATTGGTAGTGAACTTGTAAACCTTTGCCCCCCAAACTGCAGGACACACAAACACAACCATCTCATCACTGTTCGATGTTTACCGAACCTATGCAAGATAAGCGGAACACGGTGGTAACATCCTTTACGTCTTCGTGGTACTAACCTTCATTTTGCTGTCTAACACTGCGGGAAATTACAGTGTAACACGTAGTTTCATCCACACTGTCTAGTGTTACGGTACGAGTAAGGTGACGGCATAATCTATCTCATTTCTCTTTGGATGTATGTGGCCTTTTCATTGGCGTTTGCCCATACCACACAGAGATAGGTTTGAACTGTAACAACAAAGCATCTTGCTGACCATATTGACACAGAAATGAGCACCGGTAATAGTCACCTGTCGTCAGTCAGGTGTTGAAGTTATGTCAGTTCATTTGCTCTTCAAAGTAATACGCACCTCCCTTAGTACAGCACCGTGCTAACGTTTCTGGACCAGTTCGCTAGTTTTCTCTTAAGGTAGCAACAGACAAACTGCTGGGAAGCGCTGTTGTCCCTCTGAGACTGCTTACAAAGTGAAACGGACTTATTTTCATAAAGGAAACCACTCGCAAGGTTGCTGAGAACTCTTCAACATCCCACGACCGGTTTCGCCCGTCTTGGGGCTCATCAGGTAGGCGTAGGTTGACGGAAACTCGTGGATTACGCCTACCTGATGGGCCCCAAGACGGGTGAAACCGGTCGTGAGCTGTCGAACAGTTTTCAGCAACCTTGTGAAAATATACTGCGATATCTCGAATATCGTGCCAACTGAAACATGAGACGACCTGTGTGCATCACATTCAGTTGTAGAACATCACAAACGAGAGATTCAGTTGGGTCTCTCGTGGAAACCAAATTGATTTGCAAATGAGTGTATTTCTTGAAACGGACTTAGTTCGGTTTTAGTTCTCTACGCTTGCCGCGCAGGCGGGTGTGTCCAGAAGTTGGCATAATCGTGGCTGCTAAGGTATACGTGTCTGCTTGTGTCGAAAGCGATGGTAAAATCAAGCTTTCATCTTTTGTAATTCCGCGCCGGGACGCTTACTGCCACATAATTTCTCATGCTGTCATACACAACTGTTTCTAAGGCCTCCTTATTAGGTGTCATGTTATGATTCGAAATGAAATTGAATGATTCCCAGATTTAACTGAGGACTGTTCGTAGGCTCACCAGCTCCGAATTTCAGCCTCTGCTCAAAAACGAGTAGGTCGATTTGAAATGGGACTTGTGACCATTCTTTTCAAGTAATCCGGTAAGCGTAGCTACATTGGAACCAGACCTGATTTCATTGGCGTTTCTTCGTGAATTAGGTTTAGTGTTTTTGTCTCAGTCGGTCTACACGACAAGAACTATTGTCTGTAGATACTGCAAGTAACATTAGTCAGCTGCCATAACCCGCCTTTCGTAGGCTGTTCAACATGACAACACAATGCATGGCAGTTTTTGTATCCACATGCAAATAAGATGTGCTTCAAATCAGATGCTCAAACGTATGGTCATTGCAATACATGCACGCGTATCCCTCGTACGAGACGGACGGTAGACAGTGTGGTGCCGAGTTACTGCAGAACTATCCAGCTCACTATTTTGCCCAGCCCCCGCTCTTCGGTTTAGCTTTTGGTGTTTTATGTCAAGAACTCGTTAGGATGTTCAAAACCACTTACATTCAGGACGAAGCACCAAGCTACTGAAACCCTGTCCTGCAGTGAGAAAATTAAACGCAGTCATCTTGAAACAGCGACAAAGGACAGTGGATACTCACACCAGTGATTTGGACAGCGAGCTTTCAGCACTGCACAAGTAGGCATCCAAATATACAAATCAGCGTTGAGTTGACATACAGACTTCACATTGGCGGAAAGCCTTTGCACAAATAACTGAGGGTGAATCGCAATCCCTGTCCCGAAATTTATTCATTTTTTAGGATTTTTTCTCTAGCCTGTAATCAGTGCATACTTTTGGCCACTGTCTAGCGTTCAGCTCCCTTTCTTGATGGTTTGTTAGTCCATCTTCTACGCTCACCAGTTCCTGTTTCGTTTCTCTTTTGTTCGTTCTTAAAGGGGTAGTTTCATTCGCAGTTGTGTACGCAACATACAGTCCTTTCAAGTACCAGCCAATCCTTCATCTGCACCAACAGTTAGCTCAAACTTGCCCCTTTAAGCAGAGCTATTCTACCAATAACCACGTTCATAAAGCTCCAAAATGTTTCAAGTGTTCCAGCTTCTATAGAATGAAAGTTGCCGATCTATTTATTGGAGAACATCAACTGAACAGCTGAACTACTGGACGGGAAAGCATAACTCTCATATGCATCATGTTTATCGAAACTGAGTATACCTCTTCTTATCGAACACGTCTATCTGAACTTTCCTGGATACCCATTGGCTATCACTCAAGTGTAAACGAAGCTACAAAGCAATTCCGCAAATTCCGTAATAAATTTCGCTTTTAAATAGACGTGAAGCGTATTTACCCGCGTGCCTTGTCAGTAATATCCACCGTTACAATGATAGTTTAAAATAAGAATAACAAGCGACTAGGATGATACACCACGTCAGAACGCCCGCGTCAGCCTTGTTACATAAAAATGCCGCTTTTTTTATCATACCTGACTGGTAAATAGAACACAGTTTCTTATCGAAAATTCCCAAAATCCAATGCATTACTTAGCTTGAGACGGTATTTACAGTGCATTGGTCAAACTTTTGAGCTATCTGTCCAAAGTTAAAGGCAAATACTGCATTTAATAAGCCATTATATCCAGTCTTGTGAAATTTGAAGACACCTAAAACGGTTTTTGAAGCACTGAGCTGAAAGTATAACATCTCCATTATGCCTAGAACACCTGGGCTGGCCTAACAGCTGCTTTGAAAGGGCTTATCAAAACAACCAACCTATATTTGGACTGTATTGCACAGTACCTCAAAACTTTTTCAATCCACCTACGAAGACCGATTTTCTGAAGGCCGTGTCATGACTACAAAACGGAAAGTTTGCCGAAGACGTTGTATCGCTTCAAGAACCTTTCAGCTTGGATGGACCAATTTTGTTGGATGAGGTTTCCAACTAGTTTGCATAAATCGTGACAACAAAACCCTCCAAGAATGTGCAAACAGCAAGACTCTTACCCTATTCAAACGACAAGAAGTCAGCAGCAAACGGAATACCTACCCGGAACTCAGTCTTCTTTAAGAAATGAGACATGTATTCCGATCACCCATTGTCCCTAGTGTTGATTTCAAAGTGGGCACAGAACCTTTGACCTCAGCTGTCCTAATGATCAGCTGCAATAACATTACTCTGCTCATAAATCTTTCGAGGCCCTTTCGCTTAGTTAACTTGACTGCTACATGGATCATCCACAAAAAGTTTGCTCGTCCGGTATGAACGCCCAATGGAACCAACTCTGTCGAGTTCGGAAGTGGCAGGTGTATTATGTGGAGTTGTCTTCCAGGTTGTATATATTTCATTCTCTGTCTAAATTGTTTCGTAACTCCGGAAGTAGCATTATTAGTCCCATCCGGGTGACCTTGTCGTGAACTTCCAACGCTCAAGGGCCGAAACGATGCAACACTTATGCGCCTTTGACGGATGGCTGCTTATTAGCCGAACAGTCGAAGGCGTAACTCCAAATACAAATCACGGAATCTGCCCTGAAAGCATCTCTCTACGGTTCAAATGTAGATACTGACAAGGTATTGGAACGTTTGTAGTTGATCAGTTCGCCGAGTTTACTGATCTCTAATCTCTGGATAAGTCACTCTGAATGGGCCATTTATAATTAATAATGTCTTCGAGTTACTTATGTACTGCTAACTGAAAGTGTTGCTAGGAAGGTGGACGACCCTTTATTACTATGGTTCTTAGACAACTCTGAAAAACTGTGGTACTGGTTCCCGATCTGTGAATAATCCGGTAGTCGACAGAGTTACTTGGTGAATCAGTGTTTGTGCAAGCCTAGTAAGTGTTGTGGCACAGTATGTATGAGTATTCAACAGTAAGTGCGTCATTCGAAACATCAACGCCAACTTCACTCACATGGATCGGTGCAACGTATGACCGCGCGTGCCTGAGTGCGATCAGACTCACCAGCCAGGAGAGCATCCATTATGAACGCGTACCGAAAGACGGGTCTGGCTTCTGCTCATCACCTACTCGGCTTTACTGTCATACCACATTATTAAAATATCGGTAGATATCCGACTACTAACAAAGTCCAAGGCTATCTGTTCCCAGTTAACTGATGTGGCAACAAGTATGCCTCAGAAGATATTCCTATCCTGAGAAAGTGCGGTAAACTTCCGAAGCTTAGAGTACATGATGGATGTAGCGATCGCCTCTATGTGAGAAGAGATTTTCTGATAGTCACTGTTGTACCGTAATGATTCAACCGGGTGCTGTCTCCTGACAGGTCTTTGGGCAGTTGCCCGGCGATCTTATTCCCTAGAGTCTGCGCCGACGTCGGTTGTTACCACAGAGTGCTTCGAAACAACTGGTAATGTTTCGACTAGTGGTATCTAGTGGGTAAACCCTGTGCTGACAGGTAGACCCAATTTGTACACTAAGTAATCAAGCTTTTAGTGGAAATACTTGAATACAACTAGCTGACCAGAAGGATCACGAGCAAATGTTATGTGCCGTGTAGAGCAAGTTCTTTAGCTATTGCCATCGTCTTGTAATGTTTTAAATAAGTACATCCTGTCAGTCAGCTAAAATTCGGATTGGTATAGATACTTTTAATTATTCAACTGTAATTACAAGGGATATCAGTGCGTTCCTAAGGAATGTATGTGTACAAAAGCAAGTCAATACACGAGCTGAGACAGTCTTGTACCGTGAAGAAGAAGGAACACAATACACAGCTTTGCCAACCGATCTAGATGTTCATGTCCTGATGGCGAAGTAGACGTTGAATTAGCACAATTGCTAACAAACTGGAAACTTCTTGGCATCTGGACAGATCCATAGCCAACAACAAGCTAATTAAACCCCAACAACCGGTGCGACTTGTATCTATAACCGATACCACTAACAGATCTAGTCAAAAGTTGCATTCTCCAATCCTCACAAAGATTTTTCCCAGCAGCAACACCGGCATTTCACCAACCACCAATCAAATTCGAGATGCCGATCCATATACACAGTTTGGTTGTGTAGTATCTGCCTTACTCTTGTGGAATGGAATATGTAAGGTACACAGGTCATTAGAATAAGAGAGCGCATCTCATGCACATTAGTGTGAGCATAAGTTCGACCGTCTCACAGATCACTGACAGCGATCAGCTGATCAACTGATGTGAGCTCTTTTGTGAGAAACGCACTCACTTGCAAACAGATACGCTTTTGTGGGAGACTCACCTGGGACCCAGCCGAATCTCTCGTTCATGATGTCTTAAAGCTTGCAAATGAGTGTATTTTGCTAATTTCGTGTAATCAGAGTTCAAGCAAAACATAAAGTTGACGAAAACTCGGGTACAGTGCATAACTGATGAGCCCCAAGAAGGTCGTGGGCTATCGAAGTTTTCAGCGTCTTAATGAGTAGTGTACTGAGTCCTTTTTATTTCACCCACGGAGTGGGTGCTTGACCACGACTGAAGCAGTTGCAACAGGACAAGTTCATCTGCGCTGCATAGCTTTAGCCTGTCAGGATTTGAACCCAAGAAATGTGATGCGGAGAACGCGCATGTAAGCACTACTCTACCGGGGCACGCTGGACATAACTGATACAAACTGGGAATCCGTCATCATCATGTGGCTCACGCTGACA